TGGAAAAGGTCGTTGACGTACGACTTGAGAGCCATCTGAAGACAAATAATCTACACGAGGTCAACCAATCTGCTTATCGCAAGTTTAAAGTTCAAAATGACATGATCTACGGTCTTTGGATAATAAAAATGTGACTATTCTTGTGATGCTTTGATTTGGTCTGCTGCTTTTGATACAATTGATCACGAAACGCTCCTTCGCCGCCTTGAACTACACTTTGGAATTACAGGCAAGCCACTCGCATGGATGACGTCATACCTGACCGACCGATACCAGACTGTATGCATAAACAACAAAACTATCACAGCCAGTCCACATGGAGTTACAGTGTACCTCAAGGGTCTGTCTGGGACCCAAGAGCTATGTGATGTATACGAAACCTGTCGGAGAAATCTGCCGTAAACATGATCTAAACAACCATTTCTTCGCAGATGACTCACAACTCTATCTATCCTTCAACCAGTGACTAATATTTCAATTCAAGAGAATATAAACCGTATTGAAAGATGTCTTGAAGATATTGTAAGTTTGGATGAATGCCAACATGCTGGAAGCTAAACGGGCGATAAAACAGAGTTGATCATCTTCTGCATCTGAACATAACGCACAACCTGTTTCAGATGTTACAGTAACAGTCGGCGGTTCGAAAAATAAGCCAATAATCTAGTGTGGCGCAATCTTGGTGGCATTTCTTGACTCGAACATGAGGATGGAACAACATGTAAATAATGTCTGTAGGAACTGTTATGCACAATTAAGACAAATCGTCACATCAGACCCTATCTTACTGTTAAACGCAACCAAATCTCTAGTAAATTCACTTGTTACTTCTAGGTTAGACTACTGTAATGCCTGTTATATGGAGTCTCTAAGCAGTCAATGACCAAGTTACAACATGTTCAAAATACAGCAGCTAGAATCGTGACCAAAACACTCAAATATGACCACATAACACCTATCTTACGTGAACTTCACTGGCTTCCGGTAGAGTATCGGGTCGAATATAAAATTTTGACTTATACATATAAATCCCTCATCGATCAATCACCAGCCTATAAAAGACATGATAGACGTGTACATCCCAGTCAGAAATCTGAGGTCCCAGAATAACTCAATGACATTAGTTGTGCCTAAATCTCGGACAGTACGATATGGTGACAGGTGCTTCCAGACAGCCGCAGCGAAATTATGGAACGCGTTACCACCTGACATTAGAGACTGTAATACCTTGCCGTGTTTTAAGAGAGCTCTCAAACACATTATTTCATAAAGTTCTATGGACGTTAGTTCATAAATCATGTACTACTTTTGCTATATTATCAGTGTTAATTTTAATTGTGCGTTGATTTTAAACTAAATGTGTCTGTATTTCTTACCATCCTTTACTGGTTTTAGATTATCATTTTTGTTTAATAGGTTTACTTAATTTATGTTGTACATTATGTCTTATATATATATGATTATGTTTTATCGGATTTATGTAAAGCACTCTTGAACATTTATTATTTATGAAAAGAGTGCTATAGAAATGTGGTATATAATAATAATAATAATAATAATAATAATGGCCCTTTGATAAAAAGGTGTTTTTTTCTGTGTGTTGCCAGATACGCAAAAGCGTGTCCGGACTACTCCTCATAAACTACTGGTGCAATTTTATCCAAACTTTACATGAATGATCAGTACCAAGTCTAGTTGTGCACTGTCCGTCTGTCTGTCCGTCCGTCTGTCACAAAATTTGTCCCAGCATGAAATTGGCCATTATGAGGCGACACATGTGATTCCTGATCGCTCTTGTTTCACTATATACTATGTAGAAATTTTGTGAACGCAACTCCTCTTAAACCAGATTGCAGATTTTGCTTAAACTTCCAGGGATGAACAACCTTACTGTGTAAATGGCAGTAAAGGAAGGAACTTTTGCTGCGACCAAATTTAAGAGAATTATGGCCCTTTGTTGATTTTTTCACTATATACAAAAATGTACTATGTAGAAATTTTGTGAACGCAACTCCTCTTAAACTGGATGGCAGATTTCGCTTAAACTTCCATGGATGAATAACCTTAATGTGTAAGATGGTAGTTAAGGAAGAAATTTTTGCTGCGATCAAATTTAACAGAATTATGGCCCTTTGTTGATTTTTAGTTTTCAACTTGTGGCACATTAGTCCAAAAAAATATTTGACCTAGAGTCATAAGATTGACAGAACAGTGGCGTGTGGAGGCATCCGTGTCCTGTGGACACATTTCTAGTTTAATTCAATGTTTCATTTTATTTCTTTAAAAAATTTATTATTGCAATAATTATTGCAGATCTAGCATCAGTCATAATATGGATCGATCATAATTTTGGACTGAAAGTCCTGAGAGCCATACCTCAATCTTTTGAAATAGCACAATTTTATACTTAATATAAAACTTGCTGGAGGCGGGGGACGTTGGTAACTCTGTTAAAAATTCTTGTTACATTTTGAACTTTGTCCAGGACATAACTATATGACACTATAAGAGATATGAACAAGAAACTTTGTAGGTTATTGGTAGATAGATATCACTGGTATATGAGCAGTGCAAAGAACAGTAACTCTGTCTTGCCTAAGTTTTGAATTAGTGTACTTTGAACTTTGTCCGGGACATAAGTCTGAAACTACAAGATGTATCTTTTTCTGCATTCAAAACCTATTTGGGGAGCATCAACTGGTTCTTGTTCATTCTTGGATGTTTTTTAAAATAACTTAGCCTTGATGTGTTGGACCATCGTCCATTCACAATTGATTAACATTTAAATGGTATCCGATGATGGTGTTGGATGTTGCAAACAAGACTTAGTCAAAAGTCGATACGCATTTTTGCAAAACTGTCACTTTTATCAATCTTACCGTCCTTCTGTCTGTCCGTCTGTTCTCATTTTGTGTCGCACATAGCTAAAAAAAGTATTTGACCTAGAGTCATGAAACCTTACAGGAATGTTGCTCAGCATGTGAAGTTGTGCACCTGGGTATTTTATGTGGATTTATTTAGTATTTTTAAAGTTATTGCCCCTGACTTAGTAAAAATTTGCAATTTTCAACTTGTGTCGCATGTAACTCAAAGAGTATTTGACATGCAGTCATGAAACCTTACAGGAATGTTGCTCAGCATGTGAAGTTGTGCACCTGGGGTTTCGTTTGTGGATTTTGTTTTGTTAGAGCTATTGCCCTTGACTGAGTGGGGTCGTTTGTGGATTTTGTTTTGTTAGAGCTAATGCCCTTGACTTAGTGAAAATTTCAATTTGTGTCGCATGTAGCTCAAAAAGTATTTGACCTAGGGTCATGAAACTTTACAGGAATGTCGATAAGCATGTGTAGCTGTGCACCTGGGTATTTTTGTGTTGATATATTTAGTATTTTAAGAGTAATTGCCCTTGACTTTGTAAAAATTTACAATTTTCAACTTGTGTCGCACATAACTCAAAAAGTATTTGACCAAGAGTCATGAACTTTTACAGGAAGGTTGATCACCATGTGAAGTTGTGCATCTAGCATTTTGCTTGTGGATTTATTTAGTTTTGTCAGAGTTATTGTCCTTTACTTAGTAAAAAATTGCCATTTTCAACTTGTGTCGCACATACCTCAAAAAGTATTTGACCAGGGTCATGAAACTTTACAGGAATGTTGATCAGCATGTGTAATTTTGCACCTGGGTATTTTTGTGTGAATTAATATGTTTAGTCAGAGTTATTGCCCTTGACTTAGTAATATTTGCAATTTTCAATTTGTGGGTACCTCAAAATGTGTTTAACCTATGAAACTTAACAGGAATGTTGGTCAGCATGTGTAGTTGTGCACCTTGGGTTTCGCTTGTGGATTTATCCAGTATTTGTAGAGTTATTGCCCTTGACTTAGTAAAAACGGTTTCATTATGTTGTGTTATTTGTTCCTTGATCAACCAATTTTACAGGAATAATGATCAACATCACTGTGAAGCTATGCACCTCGGATTTGGCATGTGGATTTTTTTCAGTTTTGTTAAAGTTATTGCCCTTGACTTAGTATATTAATTTGCAATTTTCAACTTGTTCAAGCATAGCTCAAAAAGTATTCGACCTGTACCTGAAAGTTTACAAGAATGTTGGTCAGCATGTGTACTTATGCACCTTGAGGTTTGCTTGTGGATTTATTCAGTCTGTGTAAAGATCTTGCCCATTGCTTAGTAAAAGATTAATTTTCAACTTGTGGCACATGAAGCCCAAAATATATTTGATCTAGAGTCATAAGATTGACAAAACGGAGGAGTGTGGGGGGGGGGAGGGGCACCCGTGTCCTATGGACACATTTCTAGTTTTATCTACCACTTCCATGGCTTCTGCGATAAATTCTCCAACGAATACTCCAATGCCGCTGCGATCCACCGCCTCTGTGAAAGCTATGGCCAGTGGGTTTATCTCATTAATGAGAAGCACGCTGTTTTAGAACTTTATCTCTCTTTTATAACTATGATTTTGGTGTTATTGCCCTTAGTAATTTTTTCACATTTATTTTTTTTTTCAGATAAAAATATAAGTATAACATTAATAGAAATACATTGATCAACAGCCATAATTCATAAGTAACAACCATACAATGTTCATAACAACATGTTAATTTTACATGCAGTTTTTTTTTGTTTTGCATTTTGTATCGTTTTTCTTCTTGTATTAAAAAGGACATGTCAATATGTTAAAATTATTTTTATTTTGTCACAATATGGTTTTAACATCATTATATACAACAATAATTAGAGAAGTGTGTGTAACTAATAAATTGACAATTTTGATTAACAAGGGATATCTTGTCACGTGTTGACACATGTTTTCCATCTCATCTATACTGGCCATATGTAAAGTACATGTACATGCAACAATCCATACTCTGACTTGTGATACAATATAAAACTAATCTGTTTTTGTGTTTATTTTTGAACATCATAAAACTATAAAAAAAAAATCAAGTTAAAAGAAAATAAAACACACATATAAATATTTATATTATGTACAAAGTAGACCATCCTTAATTAAAACTCTTTAAAATAAATAGAAACTGCACATTTCCTCTTCAAATATATGATTTACATGTGTTTTATTAACATTTCTAATATGAATAGATTGCTGTCTGCGTTTGAGTTGAATGGAAGAATTCGTGCATTCAGTTAATTATGAATTTCGGAAAACACTAACTTACAATATGACAGGATTTTTACTCGACCTGAATCAATGTTCTTGTAACTTATATATTATGTGAACGAAACAGGTGATCACAATTCAGAATATAACTGACGAAGACACTCTGAGGATAAGTCTCCTGCACATTTTCAGTACTCCTGCATATTTAAGTTGTGGTCCATATGAGTTGTGTTATGTTCTGGAAGGACCCTCCCTTCCAGAGATAAGTTTTAACACATAGATTAGTGTTACTATACTAAAGCATAATATATACAGCAGCAGACAAACCCTATCGAGAATTCGCGCTAATTTCTGCCAGTCTTCACGGACATTCTCCTCCTCGTCATTTAAAGCAAAATGTCTCTCAATATTTCTTAGCATCCGTCTGTGTTCTTTTGGAAGCGATACTTCCAGTAGTTGCTGATTTCCAGTGGAGAATACCGAGTCATTTCTATGTAATTTTTCAGTAGGACCATTCATATCCAATTGGGCGATTGTGTTTTTCGATTGTGTCCTTTCATTCTGCAACGAAATTAACGAAGTAAATTATTTAAAATTGGATATTTCCATTACTGTTAAAGTATATTGATGCCTTCTAGCAGCACTAGTAAATTATAAGAAATTGTCAACAGTTTAAAAAAAATGCTGTCTAGGTAAACAGCTTTAGTTTTTCAGAAAACTGAACCATTGCAATATTTATTCTAGCTAGATTGTCACGAATATCTGGATTTAAATCTAGCCAATATATACTTAAGGACAGTGAAAACGCACGGTCGTGATAATTGCATTTTAACAAGGAAAATATATTTCTTTTAAATATTTTTTCACAGTTTCATAAAACCGAATGCATTCCGGTCATTTAGATACCAACGTTATGAAAAATGATTGCATTTTAATGAAATTATTGCATAATAAAGACAGTACTCGGAGAATCAAAAGTAACACTTTTGGCTAATTGTGATAAGATCACAACAGAAAAACAGATTGAACAAATTCATGGTTACTTTTTTGAAATGAAATTATTTATTTTTTTAAACTGTTAATTATAAACTTGTTTTACACACCTTTCTAGAAATGTTAGACACAAACGAGCAATTAAATTCTTTATGAAAATTAATATTAAACTATGCCAATGAACAGTTTAAGAAATCGTAAAAGCTCACATGGAAATTGCATAGTATCACTTTTCCTTTATAAAAGGTGATAAATTTCAAACACTACTGAAGACTTTCTAGCAAATTGTATCATTGGTTCTACAAAGAAACCATTACCGCTGGGTTTATTTAGGACAGATTCAGTCTGGTCTATCTTACAAACAAAGCGCCAATCGTTTTGGTGTCCATCGGTCTACAATTTATCGGCTTCACCAGCGTTTTTGCACTACACTATACAGGCCGAATGGCGTGACTATCCGCACCGTAAGATCTATGAGGCGACCATGTACATCTGTAGGAGACGCTGATGGAGGACATTGTCGTTTATCAAGATCCCGACGGTGACATTACGAATAGACATTTATGAGTGAATTTGTATTGGATTTTAATTTTGGTTTTTGCCATTACTCTGATGAAAAAGTGTGATTTTTAGATTTTCACCTTAGGTTCTTCGATTTACTGGTGTCCATTTGATTTCAAACATTTTAAATTATTTTCATTTGTTAAATGTGTGTTTTGAATTTAAGTAATGATATATATGTAATTGAGTCGTTAGTGTTTTGTTTTCATGTAATAAAATACATATAGTGCGGGCGTGCGTTTTCATTGTCCTTAAGTATACATGTATATAAAATATATAAGTGATGACAATATTTATCCCTTATCAAAAATTGTATAGTTTGCACAATATTTACCTGTACATTTATATTGGTGTTAGTCTCTTCTGGCCTTGCGCAGTTGCAATTACGTTTATAGGCTGCGTTGGGTTCAGATTTTGGCAGTTTGTAATTTCTACCACCTAGAAATACACTATTAGTGAATCTCCTTGACTCGTTCTGAAATACAAAATAGATAGAGGATATTTGTTTGTTTCAGTGTAAGATCGAAAAATATTTCACCGAGTGAACACCAGATGCAATTTTTTCCACGAGTGGCGTAGCCACGAGTGAAAATATAATAGCTGGGGTTCACGAGTGAAATATTATTTGATCTTACATGTAAAACAAACAAATTTTCTGTTTATTTCATGATTTTTTAACGATTTTTACACCATTTTACTGATTTTTGCCGCGTAACGTCATGCTCTTATCTTCATGACGTCATCAAATAATGACGTCACAATGTTGAAGCAAAATATAATTCCATGATTATTTTTAGATTTTAAATGTTTTTCAGCACAACGTTCGTAAATATTTATGAACTACAGTTATCACGTACATTTTTTATTATGATTGACTACATTTCCGCTGAAAAAAAACATTCATTAATGATAAATATTTTATTTTTACGCCAAATATAGTTCGGCTACTGTGAAATTATATTTGGTAATCATTACTGTGAAATTATCAGAATATAATTAACCGTTATAATTCAGTAATCTACTGCAAAACATGTAATAAAAGGTTTTATTATATTTATAGTGTCACTTTTCATTGGATAATCGTGGCGTTTATATAGCTCCATATCAGCTCTCCCCGTTGGCTTACGGAAGGTCGGTGGTTCTACCCAGGTGCCCGGTCGTGACTGAAATAATGCCCGGAGGGATACCGTGGTCTTCTGCCACGAATAAAAGCTGGGAAAAAAATCGAAGAAAAATCTCGGCAGACGCTCTAGGATGGCCCGACTTGAGTGTACGGTCGCCCATATGGGTTTTCCGGCGGCGACCTTAAATAAACGCATTAAAACCCCCACCACTGCCGCCAATTTGCTTTAAAAAAAAGAAGTTTTTTGTATTATAAATTAGTTATAAATATTTCTGACTGGTTTTAAAAATGACCGTATACAAACGTTTGTTTGTTATATAACCCTCGCCTAGCGGATCGGATTATATTTCCAATCAAACGTTTGTATAGGGCCATAACTAATAATATACACACTATGTCAATTTATGAACTAATTTCATTTTTGTTTCAAACTAAGTAAGTGTGCTGTATTATAAATTCGTTATATATATTTTCACATGTTATATGACCGTTTATCAACGGTTGTTTGCAATGTAACCTGCGCCAAACAACTTGGTTATATATGAAATCGTTTATATGGGGTCGTATATAACCTGTCAAAAATATTCATATGTAACAATATTCATGTTGACTTTTAGTTAATTTTAATTGCAAATGTAAAACACAACATTTGTTTATTTACTGATTAGTAGCTTTCGGTCAGGATGTTTGTGATAGTGTGCATTACAATATATTACATATGAAGAAATAAGAAATAAAACTACCTGGACATAACCTTTATTTTCTTTATCCATAGTGTCCACACTGTCAACATCGTACTTATTTGAAAAACACTGATTTCTAGGATTCTGCAGAAGATATCTTCGCGTCCATGACGGAACTGTTTTACCTTTGACGTCACCTCTATGATGCACGTTCAACACAAACACTGACATCACTAATGACAAACCAACCAGCAACATTGACACAGCGAAATATAAACCTGCGAAGATGTAAAATACCTTACATGAAAACCTCTTACAGATATTGCCATATTTTACATACTTCATGATATTGGCTAGAGTACTGTGATTTCATCTGATCTAAAGTAGAAAAACAAACTGACGTCGACGTCACATTTGGGAGGACTAAGGTGGTAACGAAACACATGTCTCCTGTGATCACACAACTCCTGTGAACGTAAAGATGATACAAGTTGAATTGTATAAGCTTGCAATGCATACTTAACATAATAACCCTTCTCATTGAATTGCGTATAATTGCAGTAAATAACGTATGTGTTTTCCTTTCTACACGGTGTTGTTTTTCAACAAGCGCAAATGTTTACTATGTGAATAGCTGTTACAGATAGTACGGGCAATGGCTGTTGTACATCAACAACTAAGAGACCATTTCGTCCATAATATATACATTTATTATGTGCATAAATTAATTTAGCAATAGAAATATGTAAATGATACATCAATGATCAAACGTTGGTTCGGGTGATGATTTTACTGTAGCCAATGCACATTTTGCATGATGACAGCTGTCTATGAATTTATCAATCAACCATCTTCATTGACCATTTATGATGAACATAACTCATAAGTTCAAGTTGTGTAGATTTATTTAGTTTGCAAGACACTTCAATATATAAACTATTGAATGAATAATACAAAGAATTAAATTTCACCCCAAAGACAATGTTGACTTTAAATGATTCATTTTTACCTCTTTTAAAGTTTAGGGATTTTCTTCAAACAAACTCCAAAAAAATCTGAGAATTATGACCTATCTACATAGTATATACATGTACTCCTAGAAACATAAACAAATATCCCTTGATACTATACAACATATTTGTTTGTTATGAACAAACTTACCAAGAATTGGGAAGTCATCAGCAGACGGTGGTAGGAAGTCAGATATGACCAGTAGAAACACTGACTGAGACAGCAACACAGTAACTTCTAATGAAATTTTCTCCCCGCTCTCAGCTGGCAGCAGAAAACCTGAACAAAATAGGATATTTCATTAGGACAATGTATATTTAAGCCGCGTCACGACAAAACCAACATAGTGGGTTTGCGACCAGCATGGATCCGGATGCGCAGGCTGGTCTGGATCCATGCTGGTCGCAAACCCATTATGTTGGTTTTGTCGTGACGCGGCTCATTTTTATTAGTAAAACAATAGATTTGCATAAATCTAGCAATAAACGTTATTAAAAAGAATAAGATCAAAAGTTCATAACGGCACCAATAACTTCGTTTTTGTAGACAATGCAACAAGAATAAATAACAAAAGTATCTAGCATGGAGTTAAACAAACAACACTTCCTAACTTACCAATCGCTGCAGTTGCTCCTATCAAAATACATGGAAATAACATCGTCATTACGTAGTGATCCGGACGTCTGGCCATAATAACGATGAAATTGACGTCAGCATATGGTTCTAGGTACATAATTACGTTCCGCTGTGCTGTAATTTCTGTTACTATCCACTCGTTATTCGTTATGAACGAACTCAAATCTCCTATATGATAGATATAATTTATTGACGTATACATATTTGTACATAGTCATAATACAAAACACGTAATACATAAATCATAAGTCATGGTACGATCATATTGAAAACAAACATTGTTAAACAAAAGTATTTATGGATTAATCACAGGTCATTAAAGTCTCAAATAAAAACATTGTTTGAAGTACAGTATTTAACATTAACATCAAAACTAAACAATAAAAAACGCTAAAATAATTTTAATGTTAATAAGTATTTTTTTCAGGACATTAATTAATGTAATATGACTACCAATTTCACTGTACATCTAATTTCAATTAGAAAAAAAATAACCATGAAAAATAAACATCATACCTGTCGGAGAAGTTGGGTAGAAGTCAATATCTAATTGTGTATGTGACCATGACCCGAACTTCAAACCACATTCTTGTGTGTCGAACGGGAAATATGTGACCCTCACCCGACAGACGCTGTGTAACACCGTTGGAAAGCCATAGTAGACAGTACCACTGCTGCTTAGTTTTGCCCGGTATTCAGTTAATCCCGGTAACATGACCTCTTCAGCAGAACTATCAATTAAACAGAAACAATAGTTATTTTCTTAATCTGATTATATCTTATCTACCGACTATTTTCCTAAAAGTAAACAGATTAATCAATATACGAATATTTAAATTAAAATCAGCTTTTCAACTTTAAATTATCTTCCTTTTTATATTTATTTATGGGTGACCAATGTTACCATTACCATCAATTAACATGTAGTCGAAATGCGAATGAATATCAAAAAAGTGAAGAAGTGTGTCGCAAAATAAAAAGATGTTCCTTTTGTTTTATTTTCTAGTATTACATAATATTATACTAAAAAAACAAATAATAATAGCAAAGGTTTTTTTTAAACCATACAAAAAGAAAAACTTTGTTGATGTTACCTATCAATTAATAGTCTATCTGACATTAACATTGTATAGACATTACCTATCATAAAGAGCTAAGTCGGCACCAAATGGCTGAATAAGGGACACGAAGGGGGTGTCAATAAAATCCGTAGTGTGAACTGTTCCATTTTAATTGACAGTCTGTCCAACCCTGTGGGAAAGAAGAATGTTTAATAAACAAATTAGTCTAGATAAAGTTCATGTCTATATTACACTGTAAAGCGTGGTCGAGGTTAATATGATAAAACATCGCCCCAGAAACACGAGGGCGCATGAAAGCCCAGTCCGTAGAGCAATTGATTCAATATGTCCGAGGGCTCGTGCGCAGAGTGAACTAAAAAATTATATTTATATAAGCTCTATTTTGCATAAAAGTCTAATTCAGTCAATCCGTTAATGCATGTTTTGTCTACCTGACTGCGTATAAGCAAATTTCAATAATTTAAGTTTTACCAGTTTAAAGGTCAAGGTCATAACGAATAAGTCAACATTTCTTTTCGAATCTGTAAATAAAAATGAAAACTATAACAATTTAAGTAAATTTCAATAATTTACCTTGAAATTGTAACAAATCTTAAAAATTTCAATAATTTAATTTGACCTTGACCGTTAATGTCAATTTAAAGTCAAGGTCATATTAGAATAATTCAACATGTTGGTTTTGTAATGACTTGTTCTTTTGTCAAAGTATATAAAATCTGTAAAAAATAAATCACAAAAGTAAATATATAATGAAGCGCAGAATTACTGAATAAGAATAGTGCTATTATGCATCTTTTTGTGCATTAACGTCAACACTTTAGGACTTATTAAATTCCTTGCCCCGAGAGCTCGGGATTTAATGCGTCATCGTGCTTATGCAGATGTTAAAGGGACTCTCTGAGGTTTAAAAGCAATAAAAACATTACATTTGAATTTCTAAAATAAATGAGCTGGGCACTTTAAACAGAAATATATGCAAATCGTAGGAGCAGTAGTCCAGTGGTAGGACGCGCGCTTAGGGATCGAGAGGTCCCGGGTTCGAACCCCAGCCAGGGGCACTGCTTTAATTTCCTTAGCAAGAGAATTTACCTGCGAATTGCTTCACTTCACCCAGGTGTAAAATGGGTTCCTGCAGGTGGTATATATTCCGTTGCGCCAAGTGTCGGCTGCACTAAGCGGAGTTAAAAGACTCCCCAGGGAGATTGATAGATAGATACCAGTAGCCCGATGACCAGGGGTAATAGCTGTAAAGTCGGTGAACGTGCGTAAGCATGAAACTTAGACTATAAAATGCAATTACTTTTTTTATGCAAAGATAGTTAAGAAATATACTTTGAAATAAATTGAAAATCGTATTTTTATGCTTTCCTTAGCCCGATTTGAGTGAAAAACGTTTAAACGCTTTTCATTTTTGGTCATTTTTTTTTACAATTTGTATCATTATCCTGGAATAACGAAGTGCGCGAATTATCTGAAATTTTGCACAAAGATTAGTGGTCTAAACCAACATCAAATGGTACATTTATCTGGAAAAAATATTTTCAGTCCCATCATGTCAAAAAAAACCTCAGTGGAGTCCCTTTAATGAACGACATAAATGTATAACCCTCTATTATATTTTTCTATCTCTCCAAAATAGTATGATAGTGTGAATATATATTGTTATATATGTGTATAATTACATTTTTAAACCTCTATTCAATTGTGTATAAAATTAGTCATACCATCCGAACCCAAATGTTTGACGTCATTATCTGTTCCTTCTCATTCTGTAATTAGAAAATACAGCTACATGTTGTTATTTGAATAGACTCAAGTGTCTGTTCATCAAATGCTTGAGTAAAAAAATGTGTAAGGAAAAAATGAATCTCTATTTCATTCATCTAACGTATGCACCACAAATTGTTATTTTGTTTTATAAAGTCGCATAATTGTAAACACCGCATGGCGACTCTCCAAATTTCAACGTGGAGTGTACCTCCGTGCGTTATTTCAGGCCAAAAAAAGCATCTGAGTGGACCACCAAACTTCCGCAAACAGGCTGGATAGCTACCTCACATAAGGAATCGAACTAGATTCCAAGCGGTGAGGTGCCAGTATTTTCAGTTTTTTAGATTCTGCAACAGATATAAATAATACAAGTATTTCAGCTGTTGACTGTTTTATAGTTTAGATATTTCATATGTGCGTGCGGGCAGCTTATTAATATCCATCAATTCTTTTGCAAGCGTGATCAATTTCTCGGAAGAAGCAGTAGGAAATAATTCGGTAAATTTAGGCATTTATGATTTTTTTAAGTGAAAGAACTTACCAAAATAAGAATTTGTCTAAGAGCTATATTTAAACTGACGTTCACATGACTTGGCCCATTTTTGCATACCGGTAATAACTCCGTATTGTAATTTTCAAACAGATCATTATAGAGGGTTGAAGATACCAGTTCATCACCTGTACATCCCAACCATACTGAAATAAAATTTGAGCAAAATTGGCTATAAACATACTGCATACATGACCATAGAAGATGCCAGACAAAATAGTGTACATATAAACAGTCAACTGTCAGGTTAACAGAAAATGTCTACTCAGACCACGGACTTTAATTACAATAGTTCCCGATTCTTGTAATTAAAGTCCGTTTTAAGGAGCAGTAAAATAAAACAAAAAAACAGACACTTACCAGCAACAAAGCAAATATAACTGATGCGCATCCTCGTATTCATTTTATAAAATAAAAGTACACGTTATATAACACACTGATATATTTCCAGAACTTCAAACAGGAAATTTGTGGACAAAAAAAGTACAAATCCGCTACAATCGTATTGAAAGAAAGTCTAAACCAAATCATCCAGAACATAAATTGCAACAAAAAGTCTTTATTTATTTATCACACATCGCAATATTTTATAGCATACCTCTATTGTTAATTTTAACCCACGTGACACATAAACTGTTGTTCGAAATGACTGTGATGTTATGACTTCTGGACTATTGGGTAAGAGATTTTGAGAGATTTATCTTTGCCAGTAAAACATAATCAAAACAAAAAATTGTTTGAAGACAATTGTTTATTTTCATTTATATAATCTAAGGGTACTTTGTATTTATTATTTTTTCGAAACAGATAGAATATGGTTGTTATTAAAATATAATGACCTAGAGAAAGTTCTTTGTTTTCCGATGATATGATAGGACTTCTTATTTCCCTGATAATTTAGTTTTTGACAAGTATTTAGACCAAAATATATCTTTTTTGAATATACGTGATGTGCCTTTAAGAGTAAACAAGGACCACGTAATTGACAGTCATGGGCGGCGCTTAATAGGTATATGCCCTCCAAACAGGGGCGACTGGACGGTGGCTTCTCAACTGTACGTTTTGAAGAAAAAAATGACAATGTGAAAAGCGATTCTTAACTATGGAGGGCGTTCGTTGCCAAAATTCCAAAGACCCAAACAAATAAAAACCGTGTATAAATCTTGTTTAATGAGACAACCTGAAACAGAGTATCATTTTCTGTTAGTCTGTCCACGGTAAAGAGAAATGAGGAAAAGGTTTTTTAAACCCTATTATTGTCCTTGGCCGTCTGTTATCAAATTTGATAGCATTATGTCCTCTAATTCAAAGAAAAACTATATGTGCTTTATCTAAGTTTTATTTACTTAGCAAATAGACAACGCATTTCATAATATCACTTCTAATAATACCTAATAATAACCTGAAAATGTAATGTTTTTTTTTTTATGTTGCATGTATATCTTTCAAAAAGTAACTGACTTGCAACAGTGAAGTATAACTTTTAGTCTACAGACTTTAGTGTTCTTCAATGTCTTTATATTTAAAAAAAAATATGATAGAATTAGTGAAGTGCAGACTATTAAGATATTGTACGTTATTATATGATCTAAATATCGCTTGCAATCTCATTGGTCCAAACAGTAGTCAACAAGAACTTTTTATAGGAATCATATTCAATGACCATATATCGTAGACTGTTAATTTTACGCTTGATCATTAAAAAAAATAATTGTTGCGTTTTGTTCTTTTGAAATATCACTAAATTTTACTATTATAGTTAAAAGTTACACCGCAATGATGAGTATAAACTTGCATAGTTGTTTTGCAAGGCTTCCCCATGCGTCTTTTTTTCCCCGCGCTTCAACGAAACAGACAAAAGTTGTATATGTATAAGGTACGTTATACTTTCTGTGAATTTTCCTATTCATATATAATAAAACAATTATTGACTAGAATGCTTGTGGATTTATTATGTTTTGTTACAGTTATTTGCCCTTGACTTAGTAAAAATTTGCAATTTTTCAACTTGTGTCTCCAAATAGCTCAAACAGTTTTTGACATAGAGTCATGAAACGTTACAGGAATGTTGATCGGCATGTGAAGTTGTGCATGTGAATCTATTTTGTTTTTGTCACAGTTATTGCCCTTGACTTGCAATAAATTTTGCAATTTTCAGCTTGTTTTTCACACATAGTAAAAGCCGTCCGGTTAGCTCAAATAGGTAGACATAACATTCCTACAGAGTAAGAGTGCGGATTTTGAGTTCAAGGATAACACTGTCAAAATCATAGGACCAAAACCAATTTCGAACTTGACTTGTATTTTCTGGTTAAATACATGCACGTGTGATTTCAACCTCATACAACTACAATAAATATACATTTCCACAAAAGTAAGAGTGCGGAAACTGAAAATTTCAAATTTTTTCAAGTTGAAAAGAATTATCAAAATGTCAAATTTGTGTTGAATCTGTATAACTGTTGGAGAGATAATAACCTGAAACTGAAGATATCTTCAGGGACAGAACTCTGCCAAAAGTCATCGCGCCATGACCAAATTCGAACTTGAGCTGCATTTTCTTATGATATATCCATAGGTCAAATGTTTGCAACAGTTGCCAAGATAATAAACGGACACTGACGATGACAGAATGACGGAACAGGGTAACACTATATGCCCTAGCCATTCTACTGCAGGCGCGTAACAAGGCCGGACTAAGCAAACACCATTAATCATAAGCAGACACTGGGTGATATCAAAACTACCTTCCATAGCAAAACTGCATTGCTTACAACGAAGTCCTTGGTAGTTTGAAGCTTGACTTTTCAACATTAATGCTTTTTGCTATGTACAATTATGCTGTTGTTGCTGTCCTAGCTAGGGCATAAAATTATCACATTTTCATTTTTAGCTTGACAATTTCTTTATTGCAAAATAAACAAGAGGGCCAAGATGGCCCTAGATAGCTCACCTGACCCATCGAACTCATCCAAGCAATTACCTAGACAAGCATCCTGACCAAGTTTTGATGAATAATTGAGTCAAAAAATGTGACCACTAGAGTGTTAACAAGGTTTTTTTCCCATATTTTGGCGGTATGACCTAGTTTTTGACCCCAGGTGACCATATTTCGAACTTGACCTAGAAATCATCAAAACAAACTTTCAGACCAATTTACAGGATATTGATGATCAAAGCAGTAGCCACTAGAGTGTTAACAACATTTTCCTATCTTTAGCTCCTGTGACCTAGTTTTTCAACCGAGATGACCCATGTTCGAACTCATCCAAGCAATTACCTAGACAAGCATCCTGACCAAGTTTCATGAGAACTGAATAAAAAATGTGACCACTAGAGTGTTAACAAGGATTTTCCATATTTGAGTGGTGTGACCTAGTTTTTTGACCCCAGGTGACTCAATTCAAACTCGACCTAGGAATCATCAAAAACAAAACATTCAGACCAATTTCCAGGATCTTTGGATCAAAACAGTAGCCACTAGAGTGTTAACAAGTTTTTCTATCTTTAGCTCCTGTGACCTAGTTTTTCATTCGAGATGACCCATGTCCGAACTCATCCGAGCTATTACCTAGACAAGCATCCTGACAAAGTTTGATGATGATTGAGGCAAAAATGTGACTTCAAGAGTGTGAATAAGGTTTTTCTATTTTTAGCTCCTGTGACCTAGTTTTTCATCCGAGATGAATAATGTTTGAACTCATCTGAGCTATTACCTAGATAAGTAACCTGACAAAGTTTGATGATGATTGAGGCAAAAATGTGACCGCTAGAGTGTAAACGAACAAGTGTGGAACGATCCTAAAAGCTCACCCTGAGCTAAATTTTGCTTAATTTTGCTATAAGTGGTTATAACTTGGTTATTTTTGAATGAATTGTCTTCAAACTTGAACATAATAATCTTTTAGGATAGACTTTCAAGTTAACTAGACAGACCTTGACCTTCACTCAAAAATGACCTTGACAGTCATATTATTGAATTTTTCATATTTCTTTTGCTGCAACTGCCTATAACTTTGTTATTAATGAATGGATTGACTTCATATTAATTCACAACATTCTTCAGGAAAAAACCCTAATGTATATCAAACTCAAATTGATCTTTGCTTATTTATGACCTTTACCTTGAAGGTTAAATTATTGACTTTGAACTGATTTTTGTTAAACTTGACTGCAACTTGGTAATTATTAATGAATGAATTATCTTCATACTTGGAAATACAATTTTTTGGACAAGTCCTTATAAAAGATAAGATTGAACAGACCTTGAGCTTAAAATGACCTTGACCATCAAGGTCAAATTATTGAATTTTGGTTGAATTGCCATAATTCTGTTATGTATGAATCTAATTTATACTTGGACAAAGCAAGACTTGTTACCAAACAAACATATTAAATAATTTAGATGATCTTGACCTTTAATTGACCTAGACTGTCAATTATATTTTCTTGTTCATTTCTGTATCTGGCTATAAGACAAAACATCTTTTAGGTCAGAACCTTTATATATATATCAAACTCAAATTGGCCATGGCTTATTGAATTCCCCTCATAATTTCTATCATTGACTGTATCTTGGTAAGTAATCAATGGATTATCTTCATACTTGGACAAAGCAACCTTTTTGACAAGACTTTCTCAAAGGTTGAACTGACCTTGACCTTTCAATGACCTTGACCGTCAAGGACAAATTATTGAATTTAGGCTAAATTGTTGTAACTTTGTAAGGATTTGAATTATACTAGAACAAAACAACTCTTGTGGCTAATTAACATATTGAAACATTTAGATGTGACCTTGACCATCAAGGTTCTGATAGCTATGACATTAGGACCATGTGTACAGTTTAGATGCTATAAATTTTACAGCTGTAGGTTGATTAATTCTTAAGTTATTGAGCAAAAACCGTTTTCAGTTTTAAGGTTATAGTGACCTTGACCTTTGACCCAAAAATTGATAGGGGTCTTCTACACAATATCTTCCTTTTTATATTTATTTATGGGTGACCAATGTTACCATTACCATCAATTAACATGTAGTCGAAATGCGAATGAATATCAAAAAAGTGAAGAAGTGTGTCGCAAAATAAAAGATGTTCCTTTTGTTTTATTTCTAGTATTACATAATATTATACTAAAAAAACAAATAATAATAGCAAAGGTTTTTTAACCATACAAAAAGAACTTTGTTGATGTTACCTATCAATTAATAGTCTATCTGACATTAACATTGTATAGACATTACCTATCATAAAGAGCTAAGTCGGGCACCCAAATGGCTGAATAAGGGACACGAAGGGTGTCAATAAATCCGTAGTGTGAACTGTTCCATTTTAATTGACAGTCTGTCCAACCCTGTGGGAAAGAAGAATGTTTAATAAACAAATTAGTCTAGATAAAGTTCATGTCTATATTACACTGTAAGCGTGGTCGAGGGTTAATACGATAAAACATCCCCAGAAACACGAGGGCGCATGAAAGCCAGGTCCGTAGAGCAATTGATTCAATATGTCCGAGGGCTCTGCAGAGTGAACTAAAAAATTATATTATATAAGCTCTATTTTGCATAAAAGTCTAATTCAGTCAATCCGTTAATGCATGTTTTGTCTACCTGACTGCGTATAAGCAAATTTCAATAATTTAAGTTTACCAGTTAAAGGTCAAGGTCATAACGAATAAGTCAACATTTCTTTTTCGAATCTGTAAATAAATAATGAAACTATAACAATTTAAGCAAATTTCAATAATTTGCCTTGAAATCGTAACAATCTAAGCAAATTTCAATAATTTAATTGACCTTGACCGTTAATGTCAATTTAAAGTCAAGGTCATATTAGAATAATTCAACATGTTGGTTTTGTAATGACTTGTTCTTTTGTCAAAGTATATAAAATCTGTAAAAAATAAATCACAAAAGTAAATATATAATGAAGCGCAGAATTACTGAATAAGAATAGTGCTATTATGCATCTTTTTGTGCATTAACGTCAACACTTTAGGACTTATTAAATTCCTTGCCCCGAGAGCTCGGGATTTAATGCGTCGTTGCCAAAATTCCAGACATGTAAAGTGTTCCTTTTTACGTACATATGCAACTTTGCACACTTATAGATATATCTATCTGTACCTGAAGTCAATATATAATCAAAGCACAGAAGGCGCTGAATTTGTTTGGGTCTCAGAATGTCAGAAAGGTGAAGGTTGTGAGATTATAAAACAATTTGTTTTTGTATAGTGCCACCAATGCTTTCCAGCGTTTTAATTGTAGTAGAATGGCTATAACACTAATTGCAACACTGATATTCGATCAAATGTTTATTTGACTTAAACAATTTGAAAAAAAAATGATTTGTCTTAACTGGGATTTGAACTCCAGACCTCTCGCTTCCTAAGCGAGCGCGCAAACACCTCGGCCACGGTGAATTTAAATATTAATGATCTGAAGAAAACCATATTATTCTAGTTAGGGTTTGTAACGACGCTAACTGTTGTTTAACACTTGTGTAAATAATCATGGCGCTTACTATAAGCATGTATATCTATAAAGAATAAAACAATATTATAAATATTCGACCATTCGGGAATTATTTTGCTTGAAAATTAATCCGCCTGTCATGTTACCATATTTACGCAGTGATCTCCCCTAAATTTTTCGGCCTACGTGTTACATATAAAGGGAAGTAACCGCTTCAAAAAAGCGGACTACTTTCGGCACTTGCAATTATAACAGGTAGCATTAGAGTCTGAAATTTCGCTACCATTATTTGTTTGGTCTGACGACCCAAACAAATAAAAACCGTGTATAAATCTTGTTTAATGAGACAACCTGAAACAGAGTATCATTTTCTGTTAGTCTGTCCACGGTATAGAGAAATAAGGAAAAGGTTTTTTAAACCCTATTATTGTCCTTGGCCGTCTGTTATCAAATTTGATAGCATTATGTCTTCTAATTCAAAGAAAACTATATGTGCTTTATCTAAGTTTATTTACTTAGCAAATAGACAACGCATTTCATAATATCACTTCTAATAATACCTAATAATACCTGAAAATGTAATGTTTTTTTTTGTATGTTGCATGTATATCTTTCAAAAAGAACTGACTTGCAACAGTGAATATAACTTTTAGTCTACAGGACTTTAGTGTTCTTCATGTCTTTATATTTAAAAAAAATATGATAGAATTAGTGAAGTGCAGACTATTAAGAATATTGTACGTTATTATATGATCTAAATATCGCTGCAATCTCATTGGTCCAAACAGTAGTCAACAGAACTTTTTATAGAATCATATTCAATGACCATATATCGTAGACTGTTAATTACGCTTGATCATTAAAAAATAATTGTTGCGTTTTGTTCTTTTGAAATATCACTATTTTACTATTATAGTTAAAAGTTACACCGCAATGACGAGTATAAACTTGCATAGTTGTTGCAAGCCTTCCACATGCGTCTTTTTTCCCCGCGCTTCAACGAAACAGACAAAAGTTGTATATGTATAAGGTACGTTATACTTTCTGTGAATTTTCCTATTCATATAATAAAACAATTATTGACTAGAATGCTTGTGGATTTATTATGTTTTGTTACAGTTATTGCCCTTGACTTAGTAAAAATTTGCAATTTTCAACTTGTGTCTCAAATAGCTCAAACAGTTTTTGACATAGAGTCATGAAACGTTACAGGAATGTTGATCGGCATGTGAAGTTGTGCATGTGAATCTATTTTGTTTTGTCACAGTTATTGCCCTTGACTTGCAATAAATTTGCAATTTTCAGCTGGTTTCACACATAGTAAAAGCCGTCCGGTTAGCTCAATAGGTAGACATACATTCCTACAGAGTAAGAATGCGGATTTTGAGTTCAAGGATAACACTGTCAAAATCATAGGACCAAAACCAATTTCGAACTTGACTTGTATTTTCTGGTTAAATACATGCACGTGTGATTTCAACCTCATACAACTACAATAAACATACATTTCCACAAAAGTAAGAGTGCGGAAACTGAAAATTTCAAATTTTTTCAAGTTGAAAAGAATATCTTTGTCCAAAATCATCGAACCATGACCAAATTCGAACTTGACCTGCACATTCTTATGACATATCCATACATTATGTTTGAGTTGAATGCGTACAACTGTTGGGGGAGATAATGAACCAAAACTGAAAATTTCTTATTTTTCTCAACGTTCAAGAGGGATTACTCTGTCAAAAATCATCAAACCATGACCAAATTCGAACTTGAATTGCACATTCCTTTGACATATCAAAATGTCAAATTTGTGTTGAATCTGTATAACTGTTGGAGAGATAATAACCTGAAACTGAAGATATCTTCAGGGACAGAACTCTGCCAAAAGTCATCGCGCCATGACCAAATTCGAACTTGAGCTGCATTTTCTTATGATATATCCATAGGTCAAATGTTTGCAACAGTTGCCAAGATAATAAACGGACACTGACGATGACAGAATGACGGAACAGGGTAACACTATATGCCCTAGCCATTCTACTGCAGGCGCGTAACAAGGCCGGACTAAGCAAACACCATTAATCATAAGCAGACACTGGGTGATATCAAAACTACCTTCCATAGCAAACTGCATTGCTTACAACGAAGTCCTTGGTAGTTTGAAGCTTGACTTTTCAACATTAATGCTTTTGCTATGTACAATTATGCTGTTGTTGCTGTCCTAGCTAGGGCATAAAAATATCACATTTTCATTTTTAGCTTGACAATTTCTTTATTGCAAAATAAACAAGAGGGCCAAGATGGCCCTAGATAGCTCACCTGACCCATCGAACTCATCCAAGCAATTACCTAGACAAGCATCCTGACCAAGTTTGATGATAATTGAGTCAAAAATGTGACCACTAGAGTGTTAACAAGGTTTTTTCCCATATTTTGGCGGTATGACCTAGTTTTTGACCCCAGGTGACCCATATTCGAACTTGACCTAGAAATCATCAAAACAAACTTTCAGACCAATTTACAGGATATTGATGATCAAAGCAGTAGCCACTAGAGTGTTAACAACATTTTCCTATCTTTAGCTCCTGTGACCTAGTTTCTCATCCGAGATGACCCATGTTCGAACTCATCCAAGCAATTACCTAGACAAGCATCCTGACCAAGTTTCATGAGAACTGAATAAAAAATGTGACCACTAGAGTGTTAACAAGGATTTTCCATATTTGAGTGGTGTGACCTAGTTTTTGACCCCAGGTGACTCATATTCAAACTCGACCTAGGAATCATCAAAACAAACATTCAGACCAATTTCCAGGATCTTTGGATCAAAACAGTAGCCACTAGAGTGTTAACAAGTTTTTCTATCTTTAGCTCCTGTGACCTAGTTTTTCATTCGAGATGACCCATGTCCGAACTCATCCGAGCTATTACCTAGACAAGCATCCTGACAAAGTTTGATGATGATTGAGGCAAAAATGTGACTTCAAGAGTGTGAATAAGGTTTTTCTATTTTTAGCTCCTGTGACCTAGTTTTTCATCCGAGATGAAAAATGTTTGAACTCATCTGAGCTATTACCTAGATAAGTAACCTGACAAAGTTTGATGATGATTGAGGCAAAAATGTGACCGCTAGAGTGTTAACGAACAAGTGTGGAACGATCCTAAAAGCTCACCCTGAGCTAAATTTTGCTTAATTTTGCTATAAGTGGTTATAACTTGGTTATTTTTGAATGAATTGTCTTCAAACTTGAACATAATAATCTTTTAGGATAGACTTTCAAGTTAACTAGACAGACATTGACCTTCACTCAAAAATGACCTTGACAGTCATATTATTGAATTTTTCATATTTCTTTTGCTGCAACTGCCTATAACTTTGTTATTAATGAATGGATTGACTTCATATTAATTCACAACATTCTTCAGGAAAAGACCCTAATGTATATCAAACTCAAATTGATCTTTGCTTATTTATGACCTTTACCTTGAAGGTTAAATTATTGACTTTTACCTGATTTTTGTTAAACTTGACTGCAACTTGGTAATTATTAATGAATGAATTATCTGCATACTTGGAAAAACAATTTTTTGGACAAGTCCTTATAAAAGATAAGATTGAACAGACCTTGAGCTTAAAATGACCTTGACCATCAAGGTCAAATTATTGAATTTTGGTTGAATTGCCATAATTCTGTTATGTATGAATCTAATTTATACTTGGACAAAGCAAGACTTGTTTTACCAAACAAACATATTAAATTAATTTAGATGTTACCAAACAAACATATTAGGAATTTACTGCATTAAAAATGTTTAATTTAGATTGATCTAAAGGTTGGCATACTTGATATATCAGTTGTTGCAAGTGGTTTTTGTTGTTTCAAGAGATACTTGATTTTTCTGAC